AAAACTCCTTTACCGAAGGATCGTACTGATCCTAGGAATCCCGTAGGATCGACGATCCACTTTGTGCGTTTGGCACTCTCTTCGTGTCCTACAAGACAGCTTCATCCAGAAGCGATGACGAGTTTATTTCCTTGTCCGGTCGTACAATGACCACTTCGGCCAAATCGCCTGCCTTAAAGGCACTACCGAACTCTTCAAGGGGCATCTCGTTAGCTCAAGAAGAGCATCTACTGCAGGCATAGCCTCGAGGCGGACGTCGCCATCTTCCTCCCCCGTTAAACCGCTGGGTATATGACTGTACACCATCGTCTATGGTAGACATACCCTGAATCAGGGTCGACGTCTGGCGTTTTGCAGCCAGCATACGGCGTCGCCGTCGCCGTCGCCTCTGTATAGAGGTTCTACATCTCGGCGAGACCACAGTGAACACGCGCATCGCGTTGTTCGGTGTCACCCTCACTGTCTGCTCCTTTGGAGCTCCGATGTTATCTGCAACATACGACGAAGAGCTGCTAACCCCGCAGTCTTCGTCCAGTGGATAACGTGCCACCCCACGCGAATCTGAAGGGCCGTGCCCAAGATGCCTCGGAGTCTGTCCGACCACGCCATCAATGGCATGCAACGACTGCTTCGCAACGAGAGCAGTGCTCAGTGGTTTACGTGCCACTTCACGTGCACCACAAGGTCCTCGGACCTTGGCCGACCATGTCACGCATGACATGCAGCGACTGCTTTGGTACTCGAGCAGCGCTCAGTGGTTTACGTGCCATTCCACGATCAGCCCGCGAGCCACGCTCGAGACTCCTGTTCAATACACCGTTGGTGTCTACTAACTCGGATATTCCAATGTCTAGCACGTTGACTGTCTCGGTCCAGTGCTCTCGCCACTAGCGCTTTTGTCTCCAGCAGAGATGGTCTCATGACTCGCAAAAGCTCCACCAGGAGACGTGCGCGTAGCGCCCAAAAGTTTTTGACCTCCAATCAATTCATGGCTCATGGTGTTCCAACCATGCCATTCCTGGGATGAGGTCATGCCTTGCATCCAAGTCTAAGACTAGACAGCGTTCCACGCTATCAAACCATCAAATCAAAAAACTTGACTCCGAGTTTCACAGGGACCTTCGGGACCGTGACACGCGTCCCCGTCGCTAGGCAAATCGTGACAATGTCACCCAACCGCGCTTTCAGCACCTCAGCATACAGCGGACTTCCCTCCATCGTGGAGCCTCGAGCATAATAGCCCGACGCCTCGGAATCGATGGATCTTCTATGGCTTCTTGAAGCCCTTTAACGTCGCCTCCACGACCTGCGAGCCCGGCTTGCATACACATTCCATGTTCAAGAGCACGTAGCTCTTCGGGGCGGGGCCCTGTAGACCTATGCCTCCCCGAGGGTCAACAGAACTCAGCTCTTCACCGGTAGGTTGCCCCGCGCCTACTGAGTGGGGTCGTTCCCCCGCGACGAATCAGACTGGTAGGCATTGGGGCGATGGTTCGAAGAACCTTGACACGCCTTGCGCTGGGGGAACCGTTCCGAAGGTGACGGGTGTCTCCACAGACAAAACACCGTCGTATATTTGTATGCTGCCCGGCAGCTCGGAGCTCTGCTTCCTCGTCCTTAGCATAGCTGAAATCCATGGGCACAGACCCGAGCGACGAGCTGTTGGAGTGTGCATTCCAACCAAGTCGTGCCGACTTGAAGTTGAATTCGGCATTCAATGCCACATTCACCGCTTCTTCAAATGAAGACGGATGCACACTGAAGACAGTAATTGTAGCCACGCCAGTGCGGAGGTTCCATAAAGACGGTCGCTGTGACCTCCTCCGGGAGGGGATCTGCTGCCATCCCGGCAATGAGAGCTCGCAACTCTTGGACAAAGTCCACCAATCCCGTGTTGCCCTGTCGGGCGGCAAGGAAACGCAATTGCATGCGATATGGCTGATTAGGCGGTGAGAATACTCGTGAGAGCTGCAATTTCAGCTCCGCCCAGGAGGGAAACGCAGCTTCGACCGAAG